CCACTAAACATTTGGTTGGCATTTGGTTTTGTGATATAATGTGACCCGATATATTTGTACACCGCTGGATCTCTTCATGAGTTCTACAGGGCCGGATCATCTAAAAGTGATGTGACCAGCTCGTCTCTGTGCTTTCACACTTACGTGGAGATGTGTAGTTCATGTCGAAGTAAACCTGCATCTTAATGGTGTTTAGCGTTGGACTGGCCTGGTCCATGAGTCTGTCCACACACAGCTGAACACATGGAAGACAGAGCCATTAATCAGTCACGTTACACTGCTCCTGCATTACTACAGTAGATTTCATATTTGAAGAGTTCAGATGCAAAAGCCTCTAAGTGCCATTTGAAATTTTCTTCTAGAATGATCATTTTTATCAAGCTTGTATATTTAAGTTCAGTGATTTCACTTAAATGGCAATGAATATTACCTATTAATTGTTATTTAAGTGAAATTACTGAACTTAAATTTACAAGCTTGATAAAAATGGTCATTTTAGAAGAAAATTTCAAATGGCATTTAGAGGCTTTTGCATCTGAACTCTTCATTTTTATCAGAACAATTGAAACTAAATATTCTGAGAGTATGTGTGTTGAACAATGTTATCAATCCGTTAGTTTTACTATTTCTACTCATTGGTGTCTCATAATGATTCATTTTTTTTGAGAAGACACCTCGCTGAATTATCCATGACCGCACGCGTTGATTTCCTGTGACAGGCGCTTCAAACCGTGAAGACTGAGTTTGTTATTGCTTTATAAGAGTTCCTGTGTGGCATTAGTCACGTGACGTCTCGAAATTTCAATGGTTCACTCTTTTTTTTCCCTTTATCCCTTGTCTTTTATTTGTCCTCTTCATATGTATGTAAGTGATTTTTAATACTTTAATACTTAAGATGTTGGAAAAATGCCTGATTGCAAAGAACTATTAACTATTTGCAGCACATCTGTTACTATAGAGCCACTATACAGTATATAGTCATGGTACCAACAACGCCTGGTTGGATTGGTTAGGGGTTGGGTTTGGTTTTGTCAACTCAAAACTTATCCTGTAACCCTGAGTATGTTCACTCTCATCATGCTACAGGTAATACCATCACCCATTTAATGGTTTACGTTTTAATTACATATAGTATAATTAAAATCAATCATAGTAGTTAATAGTCCCTTTTTGGCCTGTTCAGCTGGAACAAACAGGCCCCGAACATTGATCAAATAACACATATTACACACTTGATATTTAATATCATTAGATGATTAGGTAATTGCATTTAATATACATTTATTTTAAATATAACATTGTTTGATGCATGTTTGGCCGTAGTTTTTGTTAAATTTCCACTGTGGGTCTTCTGACCAACAGAGGTCATCAGTGCGTGGCGATTCGAACGCTTCGAAACAGTGAATCATTTTGCGAAGCAATCGGTTCAATTGATTCAAAGATTTGATTCGCTTCCTGTATCCCTCTAAATAACTTTCTGTTTACCTCTATGAGTTGCTGCACATCTTGCTTTGTAAGAGTCCTGTCCACGTTAAAGTGATTCCTGGGGTCCAGAACAACAGCTTTGACCTGAACACACAAGTAATGATGAGCTACAAACACATTCATCAGCTTTAACGTTAACGTTACCTGTGTGATTCTCAGTCACTCACCATGAACGCGATGAGCGTCTCGGACAGAGTCTGTCCTCTGCTCAAACATGTCTGCGCGATCTCGCGGATGATGTTTCTTATGACGCTTTCCGCCTGTGTACTCGACATGTTTCTCAACTATAACATATACAGGTTTTTAACTTGAAAATGTCGCGAAAGCGTGTGTGGCGTGGTGTGGTGCGTCGAGTTGTTGTCATGGAGACGGTGAGTGTGCGCTTCAGAAAGGCGCCGGAGGAGGCGCTGCTGCTGCACAGACCAATCCGCACGAGCCTGTTAGTGCACTGAATCAAACACACTACACTAGTGATTACACTACAGACAACCGATACAGGCCAGTCTCGAAAGGCGAAAACCAGACATTATCACTAAGAGTCTATATTTGGAGGGCCAAATATTGACTCAGTGATATCAAGCTGTGTACACCTAACCCCGCTGGCTGGGAACGGCTGGAAGGGTGTATGAGAGCTTTAATAGCACCAGTGCTGTATTCCTGCCAACTTCCAATCAACTCTGACCTTCATTAACGCAAAACATTAGTAGCAGCAAATCATTTAGATAGGAACTTTGGGCTATTAACCATATCAATAAATCACTCAGAAACTGAACATTCAGTCATAGATTGTGTGAATAAACTATATCATAAACTATAGCTACTGCATTGGTGATGATGGGAAGAAAATCTTTATCTGAACACACTCCTCAAAGTTCATATATTTATTTTTCTGACGGATGAAAAGATGACAGAATTGTAGTGATAAAAATATATAACGGTAGCACAGGACAGGAGAGTGAAAGCCTGAACCGACCGCCTGCTGAAAGTGAGTTCCTTCTGGTTTATAATCATTCACAGCAGATTAATCTCAATACAAAAATAATCATTTGATATTCATGTACAGTTAAAATCGAATATTATATAAAATACATAAATTCCTTCAAAGACAATACTTTTTCTTGTATCATTGTTGATTCTCACTCACACACACATTTTTGTTTTGGTTACCCTTTGTCAGGGTATAGACACTATAAATGTGAAGAAAACAGATATTTGTTCAATATGTTAAGCTGTCGTATGTTTCCAATGTTCACAAACCATGGAACAAATCTGGCTCTTCTCTTTATACTGGATATTTGTTCCCCGTCTGCTGTTTCCTGATATATGGCATAGACAGCTCAAGAAACGCTTGTCCATGAACCAAAGTTTCCCATGAGCAGGTTCCAGGTTTTGTTCTTCTAAACCGATGGCTATGATTAAATGTAATATAATACAGACAAAGTCTTGTGTTCACAGTAAACGAGAGCATAAGCAGTAAACTGATGAAAATCCTTCATTATATCGTCTTGTTTGAAAATCTCAAAGTCATCATGAAAGCGAAGTTGCACGCTATTGTGTCGGATATATCCGAGTGAAACACTTCGGAAGAGAAGAGATGCTGCAGGTTATTCTGATTCAAGATTATTAAAAGACGCATGGATCGAAAACAATAACGATGTGCACTAATAAATCATTTGATAAATACTTAAATATTCCTTAAAACATAGATAAGGCAAATAGCAAGTGCACAGTGTAAAGTCTCCTTCATATTTTCTCTCTCGAGTCAGTGGCGTTACTCCTCTGTTTACTCTGGGTTGGAGTGGATTATAAGGCCCCAGTTGCGCTCCATTTTGGTGAAGTCATCGTCCTGCTCGGCGCCTTCCTGTGAGGACTGTCTCAGGACCACGTTAGGCAGGAGTGAGACTGCTTCAGTCTGGATCTGTGGCTCGTCCTCAAGACCCAACAAGCCCATCAGAGGGATAGTCAGCTCTCGAGTCACTGGGCTCCAGTCCAAAAATATCTGTGCTTCCACTTCCTCATCGTTCTGCTCGTCCTCACACTCGTCCTCACAGGCGTCCTCAGGCTCAGAGGGGTCTACCGTGACGCCTTGAGCCCTGTACGGGCTGAGCTCGGCCGGACACCGGCCCGGTGCGTGGAAACCGGCCGGCAGCACGATGCCGTAATCTCCTGCCTCGCTGTGAGGAGGCTCCTGTGGCCACGGCTCCAGCTCGGCGTCCTCCCTGCCTGAGTCTTCATCCTCGTCCTCTTGAAGAGCTCCAGATCCGGCCGGCGGCGGCTCGTGCTGCAGCGCATAAGACACGGGCGGCTCCGGCACAGCGTTCAGAGCCTGAGCCTGGGCCGCGGACGAGTCTTCGGCAGAGACGGGCTGAGGCAGAGCCGGAGGACAGAGCGCAGACCACTCGTCTTCAAACCGGCCCATTTTTAACACGTTAATGATGATTGTTGAAGGCATTTCCGGTTGGAAGGTTTGCAGCTTATCACTTAATCGAGCCACGTGCTGAAATGACAAAAGTATACAATATCCAAAACTGTTTCACAGTAATACGAAGGAAAATAACAGAACAATGCAATTTTCATCAGATACCAAGATAAATTCAAATTCAGCAACTCTAAAAAGACAAAAGATCTGACTGTTATCTCACTACCTGTAACCAGGGTTTGTAATTAACACCCGCAAACACGCCAAATGTGGATAATAATCAACTGTGGCGGGAAACTCAGTCAAATCACTAGCCACTTTGGCGTGTTTCTGTAAGACTTTGTGTAATACACAAATACTTAACTCGTGAGCTCATGATATATTAAATACAGCGTATTGTGCAGAATCTGCTCATATCTGGCTTACCTGAACACACTCGTCAGTCACTACGCAACAAATAACGGCATGCTTGTACATTTGCATTGAAGCAATAGTGGAGATTAAAAAGCATTTGCTTGACAGAAAATACTTTATTTTCGGTACTGTATTGATCTGTCCACCTAAAATATATTTTTGGTGAATAGGATGAGGATGAAAGAGGAAGGGAGGAGATGGCTGGATGACAGGATTGTTTTTAAATAAGAAGTTAATGTATGAAATCCTCATTTTATAATATATCCAAGCTGTGACGTAGTTTATTTTGACTAGTAGATGTTCTGAATGGCCGGTAAATTAATTTAGTAGCCAAATTGGCAGGTGAGTGGAAAAGAATTTCAAATCCTGCCTGTATCATGTATGCCATGTGTTGGTTCTGTTTTCCCTGTGCCTGTCATTCAACCCAGTTTCCCAGAGTGTCTGATTGTTGTATTCCTATCACCTGTTGCTCCATTTACTCTTAAGCCCTGAATTTTCCTCTGTTTTTTGTCCTGTCTCGTCATCTTCAGTCCCGCCGGCTCCGCCTACATTCTCAATGTCCCCGGCTCCACCTACGTCCTCAGTCCCCCCGACTCCCCCTATGTTCTCAATCTCCCCGGCTCCGCCTACATCCTCAGTCCCACAGGCTCCGCCTACATCCTCAATTCCACCTGCTACGCCTACATCCTCAGTCCCACAGGCTCTGCCTACATCCTAAGTACCACTGGCTCCACCTACCACCTCAGTCCCATAGGCTCCGCCTATATCCTCAATTTCACCTGCTCCGCCTACATCCTCAGTCCCAAAGGCTCCGCCTACATTCTAAGTCCCACAGGCTCCGCCTACATCCTCAGTCCCACAGGCTCCGCCTACATCCTCAGTCCCACATGCTCTGCCTATAACCTCAGTCCCAAAGGCTCCGCCTACATTCTAAGTCCCACAGGCTCTGCCTACATCCTCAGTCCCACTGGCTCTGATTTTTAATTCACTTTGCTCTGGGCTTTTAGTCCAAAAGTGTGCTCATCAGATGAAAACGAATGGATTATTGTACTTTTATTTCAAATCTCTCTCGGAAGCACTATTTTTTTTCTCTTTTTTCCCAAAATTGGATGAGAAATCAGCTCCAGGAAATCCCTAATATGGACAAAGACATTCAGCAATTGCTGTAGCTGAATAAAACACAGATAGGGACACTTTGACTGATTATCTGTGTTCTTCAAGCCCATCTCAGGGATTTTTATAATGCAATAGTAATTGAGGTCCTTTATCACGGTATACAGTAATATAAAATAATATCATTTGTTTTTAATTTCTATTTGACTGATAGCATTATTTTCAGCTATAGAAAGATTTCTATAGAAATTGCAATATATTATATTTATTGACCTCAAACATTTGAACGGTAGTGCGTATCAGATATTAGTTACTTTATATTGTGATTTAATTTGAATGGAAACTAAATCTAAACTGGAGCACACAGAAAATGGAACCAACAAACACACACTACTGTTCGGTAGTTATGGGGTCAGTAAGATTTAAAGAAATCAAATAATTAATACTTTTATTGAGCAAAGGTGCATTAAATAAGATTTAATAAGTTAATTTAATTTAATTTAAAAAATAAGATAATTTTTTGTCTTTTTTTAATTGAAAGGTGCTAATCTGTTTTGGATAAATGCAATGTCTTTTAACTGGTGGTGCCCTAATCCAGCCTTTCTCAAACTTTTTTCAGTCAGGGCACATTTCAAAAGTGCATAAAATCTCAAGGCACCCCAGTGTAAAATATAATTTAAAAACACTGCATAACCCAAATTTAAATGCAAATGTCTTGTTTAGTTAGACAGAACAGTAATGAACAGAGCATAATATGAACTGTAAATAACAATAATAATAAAAACTTTATAGCACCTTTAAAAACACAGGTTTGGAAAGTAATTCACAAAATAATTAATCAGAGACACAAATGCCATAAAACCGTAAGAGGTGGACCGCCCAATACAAGAACCCAATAACAAATCCAGACCAGGAGAACTCAAATGAAGTGCAGGATGCAGTTAAAATAAAATAAAAATCCCCGGCTCTTGTGGGGATTTTCTTTTCAAAAAACGATCCATAATGCTGTAACTAAAGTGGCCTAAATTCACGTTTATTTTTACGTTTCTGTCAGTCTGAGGTGTTGCTATAACGCGTTGCTATGGATTGCGTCAAGTTGTGTGTGTCTTGCTTCGGTCTTGTGAGACGGATTTTTTTATGATTAATTTTATATATTTATCTAAAATGAATTTACTATTTTATTAATATGTTCATATGTTTAAAAAGAAGAATGTAAATTCAAATATATTTATATATGAAATGTCAGCTGTTTTTTTTCTGTTTTCACATTTTTTTTTGCCTACGTAATTTTTTGGCGGCACCCCTGACACAGCTAGGGGGCACCCCAGTGTGCCGCGGCACCCACTTTGAGAAAGGCTGCCCTAATCATTTGCGGATGAGCCCAAGGCAAATAAGCCTCTGAGAGATTGCGGTCCTCTAACAGTGTGTGTTTGCTTCACTGCGAGTGTGTGGTCTCTTACAGCGCTCTTGGGCAGGGTCTGCCTGTGGTCGGTGATGTAGCAGTGGATGAGCCCGCCGAGCACCGCCAGCACACACAGACACAGCGCAGACGGCAGCACTCCTCCCAGCATGGCAGCCAGCAGCTGATCTCTGAACGGGTCTACAGCACAGAGAAAACATCAGCGTCAGCTTACACACACACACACACACACTCACACACACAGGAGGAAGTCCAGCTCAGAGCACGCTGGGAAAACACCTCAGTTACAGCCATGCATATTATGCACGAACTGATAAAGGGTTTAAAGCAACAGCAAAGATTTCCTTAACTTGTCCTATCATTAATGTCAATCAAATACTGCTCAAACCTGTTCACCTGACAATCTGAAAGTGAAAACACAAGAACCCTTCACGGGTTGATGGCGGTACCTTTGGGAGTCTCGACGCACAGTTGCTCGCTGGGTTTGTAGTCCAGAGGGAGCGTCTTGGATTTGGCATAAACCACCAAGCAGAACCGTGTGGAAAAGTCCAGAGGGCCCAGCCTCACGCTCCCGTTCGTGAGATGCATGTGATTCTGGGGGAAAACAACCAGTTTAATTCGGCTGAGTAACCCACACTCTTTAAAAACAAAGGTTCAACATGGGTTTTTCACAGTGATGCCATATAGGAACTTTATTGTGAACAGATATTAAAGTCCCCCTGTGGGGAAAATCCAGCTTTTAAATGTTTATAAAGTTGTTTATATGTCTATGTGGTGTTTTTAATACGCTTTAAGACAAACAATGTGTGAATTCATAAGTCGACACGGTTTGAAATCGCTGGTGTTTCTGACATCATAAACGACCTTGTAACCAATCAGATCAACGTGTGATCGTCAACCAGTGGATCTCTGAGCTGAGTGAGTGGAGGCGGGGCTGATTTGCATATTCATGGAACCGTGCATACTTAATGAGGCAAGGGTGTCGAGATACATTCAAGGAAAAAACGTTTAAATATGTAATTTTGGTGAACAGAGTTTTAAGGGATCAATTAAACAGGGGAATTTTAACCATTTTCTTAGTGTGAAGAACATTTTAAACACCGTTTTCCATTGTAAAGAACCTTCTGGAATAAGTCAAATGTTCTTGATGAAACCACCGATGCAAATAAAGCTTTATTTATTCTCAAACACTCACTGTGTGATTGCTCCTGCTGTTGAACACGGAGAGGTCATAGATCATTTCAGAGAAGATCTCCATCAGCGAACTGTCTTCCTTTGTTCTCTTAGTTCTCCATCTGAAGGGCCCCTTTATGGTGACGTTCATGTAGTTGTGCAGCAGATTCACTTCCACATGCGGCGGCCCGATAACCGCTGCGGGACAGAGATTGAGGATAATCATTTGCCTTTATGAGGGCCAGAGTTCAGTGACAGCAGCCTTGTGTTTGCTTTCACCTGCGATTACTTTAATCACACATCTAGAGAAGCAATACACCGGCTCCACCTACACATGTATACACATGCAGAAAAGGCATAATTGAGAAGTAAACGAGAGAAAGAGTCCGCACAAATTGTACACAAAGTCATCTCTACACCCCAGTGTGAAACATTCCTGCACCTGAACAATTCAAACATCGTGTGATCAATCCTGAATCACTGCATTCCAGCACGACTATCCTTCAGTGTAAAGGGTGTTGCAGGGTTGGACTGGAGACACAAATACTCTAAATTAAAGGATTAGTTCACTTTTAAAAAAAACTTTTGCTGATAATTTACTCACCCCATGTCATTCAAGATGTCCATGTCTTTCTTTCTTCAGTCGAAAACAAATTAAGGTTTTTGAGGAAAACATTCCAGGATTTTTTTAAGACACGAATCAAGCGAAACGATCGCTCATTTAATTAAAAAAAAGTTTAAGTTTTATAAGCTCAAATGCTCGCCTTGCTCTGTTCTGTTATGCGTGTTTGTGACTCTCCTGTTCGAACTCGTTCATCAAAATGAACAAATCTTTTTCCGAGTCAACTCATTCGTTGCGTTCGTTGAATGAACCAAACGACTCAGAAAAAGATTTGTTTATTTTGATTTACGAGTTCAAACAGGAGAGTCACACAAAACAGAACAAGGTGACCATTTGAGCTTATAAAACGTAAACTTTTTTTTTTTTAAAGTTTCGCTTGATAAGACCCTCATTCATCGTCTGGTGTCGTTTAAAGCCCTTTGAACAGTTTGCACTGAAACTGTCTTTTGGACCTTGAACTGTTTGGTTCCCATTGAAGTCCATTATATGGAGAAAAATCCTGGAATGTTTTCATCAAAAACCTTAATTTCTTTTCGACTGAAGAAAGAAAGACATGGACATCTTGGATGACATGGGGGCGAGTAAATTATCAGCAAAAGTTTTCAAAAGTGAACTACTCCTTTAACTATAGAATCCTTAAATTATGTGTTTCTCAACATAACAAATGACCCCAATTATAGGTTTACAATTTGTGAAACAAGCTCAAGTCTTTGTTGAACACATGTTTGTTGGGAAAGCTCAGATTTCTCTGTTGACTGGTGTGAAACTGCAGAAGCTTAGCTGCTTCACATACTTCACATACCACATACAATAAACTCTCGACAGGCTGATCTGAACTCAAAGTTTATTGTGCAATAACCGGCCGGCCCGGCTGTCCATTATCCCACTCATTTACATAGCAATATTGATTTGAGTTTAAATTATTTTATACTTTTATTACACACGAATGGAAGCGAGGAGTGCCCAGGAAAACTGAATCAACGTACCTGATCAAACTGTGTTTATTTTGCACTCTCTGTACGTTACCATGCTTATAAAAATCAATGAATAAATATTTTGAAATGAAATACGGATTTTAAAGTCGTGATGAATCAGAAGCATCATCGGTTCTTTTCTTCCATTTTGTGACGTACAAAAAAGGCGGGGCTTGGTTCCATGCAGCCTTACAGAGACTCAGGAAGAGCTTCAACTTTCAGACATTTCTGTTGTTGTTGTGGAGTCACATTGATTAACTTTTACTCAGGTTGATACAGTTCCCTGAGGTGTTTATAAAACAGCGGAGACATGTTTTGGTCAAATAGCGTTCAGTGCTCGTCTGTGCAGCAACGACAGAACAGTTTACACTGTCGTAAACCCAGTGGTGGCGTGTGTGTGTATACGTACAGATTAAGGGCCGGTAATATTATAATAAGATCCTCTTCCTACATCAGAAGGGGAGCGAAATCTGATCGGCTTATTTTGTGACATGCTTGCAGAGAAAGGCTGACCAAAACAAAGTTGTCAATATTCTGTTTTCTGGGTCGGTAGAAGTGCCCGGGACCCGATTATAGCACTTACACACGGAAAAGGCAGTCCCCTTTAATAAACAGTGATAAAGTACCAAAACAGAAGTGGTTAATCAGTCACTCACTGTCGAGAAATGGATCGAATCTGTGTGTGCTCTCGCTCCAGAGGGAGTGTGTGTGTGCGCTGACGGCTCGGACTCTGGCGTAGTACTGCTCATGCAAATCAGAGGTCTCCTGAGACACGTCACACTCGGTGTGTGTAATGGATCTGCACTGCTTCACACGCCTCCATCGCAGCCGCCCACTGCCGATCGTCTCCTCCTCGCCGTATCTGCAGGACAACAGCGGTTCAGGTGTCACTACAGGTTCAGGAGAGCAGAAAAATATTCCTTCGTCTAGCTTGAACCATTCACACAACTATCCAACGAACATTCGCAAACAGCATCGCAGAGGTGTGTGTGTGTGAGCGACAGATCTCGAGCTGTGGTTTGAAGCTGAGTTTCTTCTTTGCTTGACATGTGGACTCAATAAATCCTGATGTTGTGCCAAATAGGCAAGCTGACATTCAGTGCAGCCTGTGTCTTTCATTTAGAACACATACCAATGTCATTTACGTCTTTGAGTTTGTCATGAGATTTAAAGGGTTGTTTGTAAAGAGTGCGCATGTGTGAACGAGCTCTAGTGTGTAAGAACGAGACTATGACTGAATAGTCGTCCGATGCCATGTCTGTAATTTATAGCAAAACATCTAGCGTTAATTCGATCTCAAACAGATCCATTAACAGTAGTTATTCCTCCACCACGCGGATGAACGACCAATTTGCGCGAATTTGGTTTCAGAAACAGTCGTGACTAGCTAGTTGTATTCTTCAGCGAGTTACGACAATGTGTGGGAAACACACCGTGAACAACAGCTCAAACTCTGGAACTTTGATAAGGATTCATCTAAATTTCATTTCTACAATGAAAGCTATGCAGTGGCATTTTAAAAATAACAGTTGGCTCTTTTCTTTGCATTAAGTGTAAATAATAGTTACTATTTGCACCATAGTATTTTAGTACATTATGAAACTGTGCAATAATAACAGAGTTTAAATGACCTCGCATCTACAACTCGCCTCACTCTGCTCCGCCACTGCGCACGCTACAGGCGTTCACCGCGTCTGTCCCGGCTGGACACTGGAGGCGGAGTTAGTGTAGATTGCCTGTCCCGGCCGGACACTGGAGGCGGAGTTAGTGTAGATTGCCTGTTTCGGCCGGACACTGGAGCAGAGTTAGTGTAGATTGCCTGTTCCGGCCGGACACTGGAGGCGGAGTTAGTGTAGATTGCCTGTTTCGGCCGGACACTGGAGCAGAGTTAGTGTAGATTGCCTGTCCCGGCCGGACACTGGAGGCGGAGTTAGTGTAGATTGCCTGTTTCGGCCGGACACTGGAGCAGAGTTAGTGTAGATTGCCTGTTCCGGCCGGACACTGGAGGCGGAGTTAGAGTAGATTGCCTGTTCCGGCTGGACACTGGAGGCGGAGTTAGTGTAGATTGCCTGTTCCGGCCGGACACTGGAGGCGGAGTTAGAGTAGATTGCCTGTTCCGGCCGGACACTGGAGGCGGAGTTAGTGTAGATTGCCTGTTCCGGCCGGACACTGGAGGCAGAGTTAGTGTAAATTGCCTGTTCCGGCTGGACACTGGAGGCGGAGTTAGTGTAAATTGCCTGTTCCGGCCGGACACTGGAGGCGGAGTTAGTGTAGATTGCCTGTCCCGGCCGGACAGTGGAGGCGGAGTTAGTGTAGATTGCCTGTTCCGGCCGGACACTGGAGACGGAGTTAGAGTAGATTGCCTGTTCCGGCCGGACACTGGAGCAGAGTTAGTGTAGATTGCCTGTTCCAGCCAGACACTGGAGGCGGAGTTAGAGTAGATTGCCTGTTCCGGCCGGACACTGGAGGCGGAGTTAGTGTAGATTGCCTGTTCCGGTCGGACACTGGAGGCGGAGTTGGTGTAAATTGCCTGTTCCGGCCGGACACTGGAGGCAGAGTTAAGTGTAAATTGCCTGTTCCGGCCGGACACTGGAGGCAGAGTTAGTGTAGATTGCCTGTTCCGGTCGGACACTGGAGGCGGAGTTGGTGTAAATTGCCTGTTCCGGCCGGACACTGGAGGCAGAGTTAAGTGTAAATTGCCTGTTCCGGCCGGACACTGGAGGCAGAGTTAGTGTAAATTGCCTGTTCCGGCCGGACACTGGAGGCGGAGTTGGTGTGGATTGCCTGTTCTGCTCGGACACTGGAGGCGGAGTTAGTGTTAATTGCCTGTTCCGGCCGGACACTGGAGGCGGAGTTAGTTTAAATTGCCTGTTCCGGCCGGACACTGGAGGCGGAGTTAGTGTAGATTGCCTGTTCCGGCCGGACACTGGAGGCGGAGTTAGTTTAAATTGCCTGTTCCGGCCGGACACTGGAGGCGGAGTTAGTGTAAATTGCCTGTTCCGGCCGGACACTGGAGGCGGAGTTGGTGTAGATTGCCTGTTCTGGTTGGACACTGGAGGCGGAGTTAGTGTAAATTGTCTGTCCCGGCCGGACACTGGAGGCGGAGTTAGTGAAAATTGCCTGTCCCGGCCAGACACTGGAGGCAGAGTTAGTGTAGATTGCCTGTTGCGGCCGGACACTGGAGGCGGAGTTGGTGTAGATTGCCTGTTCCGGTCGGACACTGGAGGCGGAGTTAGTGTAAATTGCCTGTTCCGGCTGGACACTGGAGGCAGAGTTGGTGTAGATTGCCTGTTCTGGCCGGACACTGGAGGCAGAGTTAGTGTAAATTGCCTGTTCCGGCCGGACACTGGAGGCAGAGTTAGTGTAGATTGCCTGTTCTGGCCGGACACTGGAGGCAGAGTTAGTGTAGATTGCCTGTTCTGGCCGGACACTGGAGGCGGAGTTAGTGTAGATTGCCTGTTCCAGCCGGACACTGGAGGCGGAGTTAGTGTAGATTGCCTGTCCCGGCTGGACACTGGAGGCGGAGTTAGTGTAGATTGCCTGTCCCGGCCAGACAGTGGAGGCGGAGTTAGTGTAGATTGCCTGTTCCGGCCGGACACTGGAGGCGGAGTTAGAGTAGATTGCCTGTTCCGGGCCGGACACTGGAGGCGGAGTTACTGTAGATTGCCTGTTCCGGCCGGACACTGGAGGCGGAGTTAGTGTAGATTGCCTGTTTCGGCCGGACACTGGAGCAGAGTTAGTGTAGATTGCCTGTTTCGGCCGGACACTGGAGGCGGAGTTAGAGTAGATTGCCTGTTCCGGCCGGACACTGGAGGCGGAGTTAATGTAGATTGCCTGTTCCGGCCGGACACTGGAGGCGGAGTTAGAGTAGATTGCCTGTTCCGGCCGGACAGTGGAGGCGGAGTTAGTGTAGATTGCCTGTTCCGGCCGGACACTGGAGGCGGAGTTAGAGTAGATTGCCTGTTCCGGCCGGACACTGGAGGCGGAGTTACTGCAGATTGCCTGTTCCGGCCGGACACTGGAGGCGGAGTTAGTGTAGATTGCCTGTTTCGGCCGGACACTGGAGCAGAGTTAGTGTAGATTGCCTGTTCCGGCCGGACACTGGAGGCGGAGTTAGTGTAGATTGCCTGTTTCGGCCGGACACTGGAGGCGGAGTTAGTGTAGATTGCCTGTTCCGGCCGGACACTGGAGGCGGAGTTAGAGTAGATTGCCTGTTCCGGCCGGACACTGGAGGCGGAGTTAGTGTAGATTGCCTGTTCCGGCCGGACACTGGAGGCGGAGTTGGTGTAAATTGCCTGTTCCGGCCGGACACTGGAGGCAGAGTTAAGTGTAAATTGCCTGTTCCGGCCGGACACTGGAGGCAGAGTTAGTGTAAATTGCCTGTTCCGGCCGGACACTGGAGGCGGAGTTGGTGTGGATTGCCTGTTCCGGCCGGACACTGGAGGCGGAGTTAGTTTAAATTGCCTGTTCCGGCTGGACACTGGAGGCGGAGTTAGTGTAAATTGCCTGTTCCGGCCGGACACTGGAGGCGGAGTTGGTGTAGATTGCCTGTTCCGGTTGGACACTGGAGGCGGAGTTAGTGTAAATTGCCTGTCCCGGCCGGACACTGGAGGCGGAGTTGGTGTAGATTGCCTGTTCCGGTCGGACACTGGAGGCAGAGTTAGTGTAAATTGCCTGTCCCGGCCAGACACTGGAGGCAGAGTTAGTGTAGATTGCCTGTTCCGGCCGGTGTAGATTGCCTGTTCCGGTCGGACACTGGAGGCAGAGTTAGTGTAGATTGCCTGTTGCGGCCGGACACTGGAGGCGGAGTTAGTGTAGATTGCCTGTTCCGGTCGGACACTGGAGGCGGAGTTAGTGTAGATTGCCTGTTCCGGCCGGACACTGGAGGCAGAGTTAGTGTAGATTGCCTGTTCTGGCCGGACACTGGAGGCAGAGTTAGTGTAGATTGCCTGTTCCGGCCGGACACTGGAGGCAGAGTTAGTGTAAATTGCCTGTTCCGGCCGGACACTGGAGGCGGAGTTAGTGTAGATTGCCTGTTCTGGCCGGACACTGGAGGCAGAGTTAGTGTAGATTGCCTGTTCTGGCCGGACACTGGAGGCGGAGTTAGTGTAGATTGCCTGTTCCAGCCGGACACTGGAGGCGGAGTTAGTTTAGATTGCCTGTCCCGGCTGGACACTGGAGGCGGAGTTAGTGTAGATTACCTGTCCCGGCCGGACAGTGGAGGCGGAGTTAGTGTAGATTGCCTGTTCCGGCCGGACACTGGAGGCGGAGTTAGAGTAGATTGCCTGTTCCGGCCGGACACTGGAGGTGGAGTTACTGTAGATTGCCTGTTCCGGCCGGACACTGGAGGCGGAGTTAGTGTAGATTGCCTGTTCCGGCTGGACACTGGAGGCGGAGTTGGTGTAGATTGCCTGTTCCGCTCGGACACTGGAGGCGGAGTTAGTGTAAATTGCCTGTTCCGGCCGGACACTGGAGGCGGAGTTAGTGTAAATTGCCTGTTCCGGCTGGACACTGTAGGCGGAATTAGTGTAGATTGCCTGTCCCGGCTGGACACTGGAGGCGGAGTTAGTGTAGATTGCCTGTCCCGGCCGGACACTGGAGGCGGAGTTAGAGTAGATTGCCTGTTCCGGCCGGACACTGGAGGCGGAGTTAGTTTAGATTGCCTGTCCCGGCTGGACACTGGAGGCGGAGTTAGTGTAAATTGCCTGTCCCGGCTGGACACTGGTGGGCGGAGTTAGAGTAGATTGCCTGTCCCGACCAGACACTGGAGGCGGAGTTAGTGTAAATTGCCTGTCCCGGCTGGACACTGGTGGGCGGAGTTAGAGTATATTGCCTGTTCCGGCCGGACACTGGAGCAGAGTTAGTGTAGATTGCCTGTTCCGGCCGGACACTGGAGGCGGAGTTAGAGTAGATTGCCTGTTCCGGCCGGACACTGGAGGCGGAGTTAGTGTAGATTGCCTGTTCCGGCCGGACACTGGAGGCGGAGTTAGTGTAAATTGCCTGTCCCGGCTGGACACTGGTGGGCGGAGTTAGAGTAGATTGCCTGTCCCGGCCAGACACTGGAGGCGGAGTTAGTGTAGATTGCCTGTCCCGGCTGGACACTGGAGGCGGAGTTAGTGTAGATTGCCTGTTCCGGCCGGACACTGGAGGCGAAAATAGAGTAGATTGCCTGTTCCGGCCGGACACTGGAGGCGGAGTTAGTGTAGATTGCCTGTCCCGGCTGGACACTGGAGGCGGAGTTGACAATACTGTATTTTTGTTCTGTTGCATGTTGCAAAACAATGATACTGACATATTTTAAGATTTCAGTTAAAACAGCTCATGCATGCATTAATCGCGGACTGTGAACCCTGGGGATAGTCTATGAATCTGTGAAATATTACTCGGCTCACAAACTGTTCCAATTGCCTATGGAAGTGTGTATATTCAGATGCAGGGATTCAGACGAGCCTAAACACTTCTCATGCTGACCGTGGCTGAGTGCTTCTCTACTGAACTGAACAGGCTGTGTTTGATTTGACTCACTTGGCATATTCCACAGAGAAGACGGTGTCATTGGGAGATCCTTCCCCTGGCGTCCACTTGACTATGTTCCTCAGGTTCACGGAGGTGAAGTGGACGTTTCCAGGCTCCGGCAGTCTCTCCACTGATGCTGTGTAACAGATAAACCACAGAATATTCTCTCTTATTATTATGCACATTACTGACTTGTTGGATTGTTTCCAAAACTTCAAAGTGAGTGGCAGCAGGAAACAGTGAAGTTCAGGCATTGTTGAAATAAATCAGATTTCATGAAACCACAGGAAGAGGCACAAGGGTGTCTGACGGGTGAATCTGCTTCCTGTTGTTCCACAACACCAACAGATCATCACACACTTACAACACACACCACAGAAACCCAGAGGATCATAACAAAGATCAGCACATGTTACTGTGAACGATCCCGTGCTGTAAAACAGGCTTTATGTGGTTATATCTCCATCATAAAACATGCACAGCTTGGGAGAATGCACAGCTTGTTTCCGCCACAGAATAAAAACATTTATTAAAAACTTTATAGGCTATCATGCAATTCTGACTTTTTTTCTCGGAATTGCGTGAAACATTGAGACAGAAAGTCACAATTATTTGTTTTTTATTTATTTATTTGAACTTATTCCCAAATAAAAAGCTACAATAGAAACACATTTCTTGAAATATCTCCAAACAGACTTGAAATGACAGATATTTGTTGGTTCATATAGTCTACATCAGTGGTTCTCAAAGTGCACTCTTGTCTTATCTATGACCATAAATAAGAGTATTCCTGTTTCCACTGCTGAGGAAAAATTCCCATGTAATTGCGCGCCGGCGTCTCGCGTGCGCGCACAATAGTCAGTTCTAGCACTGCTACTGTAGATTTGACATTAGAAGTCTGATCATTATCAAAATAAAAGTGCATAGTGACAGGGCCGTACCCACAACTGAGGTTGCAAGGATGCACATCGCGATGATAACTGACCTTCTCGTCTGAGGTGCTTCAGCAGACTAACAACGATAGCTCGTCAATGTCAAAATGTTTGAGTCGGAGTGAACTCAAAGTTCCCCGCACGACGTTTCAGTCAACGGTCATAAAGTGCGAGATAAGATGTAGGCCTTAATTAACATAAACTAAACAGCTGTTTTAGATAAAAGTTTTAAAAAACGACTAAAACAATTAGTTTGCAAAGTATTAATCAAGCTCAACTTTAACAAAGGAAAAAGCAGGTCAATAGAAACATACTGTGCCCATGAGATTAACATTATGGATTCATATATTTAACATCCAATGATACCATCAAGTGGATTGATTCATATTTAAAGGGAAGAATAAATCATGTAAAGGTTCAAAATCATAAATCAACTGCTTATACAAATAATACTGGTGTCCCTCAAGGATCTGTACTTGGGCCATTGTTGTTCAGTCTTTATGTAAATGATTTGCCTTTAGTTTGTCCCGATATAGAAATCTTATTATATGCTGATGATGCTGTTATTTATGTACATAGCAACACAAAACAGCAAGCTGCTTTAAAACTAACCAGTGCAATGAACTATATCACAACATGGCTTAACAGATCATGTCTGACGTTAAATGTTTGTAAAACGGTAAGCATGTTCTTCTCAAAACGACCATGTAGCGTTCCAGACCCTGACATAATGGTATTAGGTCAAAATTTGCAAGTTGTGACTGAATACAAGTATCTGGGTGTTTGGATTGATTCGAATCTGTGTTTTAGAGCTCATGTGAAAAGTATGTGCAAACGAATCAGATTTAATTTGAGTAATTTTAGATTTGTTAGGGAATCATTTACCTTTGAAACTGCTATGTTATATATGAATGCCATGATTATCCCGCATTTTACATACTGTTTGACAAGCTGGGCACAAGCTAACAAGTCTACAATTAAGTCACTAGAAAGTCTTTATAAACGTACTCTTAAAGTTTTAGTTCGGAAACCTAATAGTTTTCATACCTGTCAAATTTTAAATACCCATAGACTTCTGAGTTGGGAAAATTTAATCACTTATAGTAACCTTTGTCTAGTCTATAAGATATTGCATAGCACGGCTCCACCTCCACTGAAGACATTTGTTATGCAGAGAGCAGGTAGTCATGTCACCAGAGGTGTCACAAGAGGGGACTGCATCATTCACACTCGAAAAAGTGCCTTTAGTCAGTCAGCGTTCTCTGTAACTGCAACTAAACAGTGGAACCAATTGCCAAGTCTGATAAGAGATACAAAAACTTATCGTTCCTTTACTGGTCAGCTTAAGAACTGGCTAATTGATAATCAGATATGTGCACATTAAACCACTGACTGCCTACTGAAAATTGTGGCTTGCTGGCAGATTGTCTTGTGTGATTCGTTACTTATTGTTGTGTCGTTTTTGTCTTTTTATTACTTTTAATGTTGTTATTATTTGTGGACTGTGAAATACATTTCTTGCTTTATATTTTGTTTTTAGGTTGCCATCATAATAACTGGCCAGGGACAACAGATGCAAATTAGCCTGTTGAGCTAACTCTGGCTCATTTACAGTTATTTTACTGTTAATTAATGAGCACTGTCCCTGTAAAATAAATAAATAAATAAATAAATAAATAAAATAAACATATACTGTATGTTTTTTTTAGCTAATTACAGTAGCTCAAATTAACAACGCACGCACCTATTAAACATAATGCCATTATCATTGTATTTATAGGCTTATGGGCTTTATTTGTGTGCAGAATAGGCCTAATTATTGAAACATTTCTCTTTTAAGGCCATTCCTGATTGGAATATGTGATTGTGTTTCGTGACATCTTGACAAAAAAAAAAAATGTATGCCACTGACTGACATGCTTCTACTAAATCTATAGTTATCCAATTGTGGGGCCTTAAAACACCTTAAAATGCACATGTGTAGATCAAGAACATCAAAAATTCCTAAGTGAGGGATCCTAAGTGATTCCTAGCAAGATCACTTTCGTTACCTCAGTAGGCTATTTAGAAATTCCTGCATAGTACCCTGGGTGGAGACCATTCATTTTGTGCAAAAATATTTAATTTGCCGCTCACACATTAACTTTGTGCTCAATAACTGTTATAAATATGAGGGGGGTCCTTGGAATTTTTTTTCCCCTGAAAGGGGTCCCTGGCACCAAAATGTTTGAGAACCCCTGGTCTACATCAGTCATTCCCAAAGGCGGGGTCCCGACCCACAAGTGGGTCGTGGAAGATTTTGAATGGGTCGCCATGTCGAGCACTATTTTTCAGTGTGCTATAGCTATATACTCTCTAGATCAGGGCTATTCAATTGGCGGCCCGCGGGCCAAGTGCGGCCCGCCAATCATCTCCATAGGCTACGACCCGAGGGCACCCCAACCTCCCTCCTCCTATTTTCTGGTGGTGCGGCTAAATTTGGTTAGATATGCGCGTGGCCGCAGTGGCGCGCGCACTGTGTGTGTACCATGAGCGCTCCGACTGACCTGAGAGAAACGTTTACAGTCCGAATATTTCAGCAGTTATTATGTGTGTCCCGTATTTCTGTCGACTGAACCAGCGATATTAAAAATTCGTTGGTTTGATTTCCTTTCCATGAATTGGCCAAACGCGCATGCATAACAGTCTGAAACGATTCGGATTCGTTCACCTGAAGCGGTTTCTCGGTCAGTAACAACAAATAGAGAAAAAAACGCGCTGGTTTCAGTTGTTTCACTAGTTTACTTTGAACTAGGCAGCACGGGCCAGTGGATAACAAAACGCAAAGCTTAAAGGAGTCGCGTTTACTCCCGGTCCCTGACACTATTATTAAACAGCGTTGTGACCAAGGGGGTAATCCATCAGCCGGAAGCTGAAACTGCCTCCGGGGGCCGCCATTGTAGCGTACTATCACCTGCTGTTAGCATCCCATTGACTCCCATTCATTTTGGCGTCTCTTTGACAGCGAATAACTTTACATCTAAGGCGTCCAAAGACTCCATTTATCCATTATTTATTTCTAAAGAAACACGACAATGTATAAAAAGGCTCCATTATTTATGCCCAAGGCATAAATAGAAGCAAAATGACAAAATAACTAATCAGAATACTTACCAAAAGTTGCTCCAGGTCGCGTTTCGCCGTCTCTGTGCACGATTAAAATTTCACTTTTTTCGCTCAGTTTGAGCCTGCGCAGAACGCTTGGCTATCAGGAAGTGAGTGCCCATGTTGAGCTTCAGCTCTCTCCGTTGAAATCAATGGGGTCGCTGTGTCCAATTCTTTTACTGTCTATGGTTGTGACATCTAGTGAGAAGCGTTTCAATCGGACACTCCTCTCTCTTACAAACCACAAATCACTCAATGATTTTATCTAGTTTTAAATCGGATGAAACCTACGCTTTCTCAAACATTCGCAATAAATGTGGAATATTTATATTGAATACTATGTTATAGTCATTTATATTGCATTATAGATTTATTAGGGAGGTAGAGGAATATAATTATTTGTGTGTATAGTTTTTTACCTGTTTAGGCATTTTTTTATACAGTGGTAGTGAGCCATGCATGAATGATTACAAAGTCTCACTGTCAGGATATTTTAACTTAAGCCTATAATAATTATTATACTAAATAGTGTACACTGTAATGAGAATATGAAAACAATGAGATGCCATGTCAACTCTTCCTTTCTCATTTCACCTCTGCATTTCGCTAATTGTCAACAACAGGTTAATAAAAAAAAATTGAGCTTTGTCAAATATCTGTATCTCTTTTAAATAGTTAACTCTAAGCTTAACTGACCTTAAAAATATTCATATTTTGTTAATACATACATTCTCTTTGTGATATATGAACTATATGGGCCTTATGTTTATTGGGTCACAAAGATTTATCGACTTTAAAATGTGGGTCCCCAGAAAAAAAGTTTGGGAAACACTGGTCTACATTGTTATATTATTTAGTAATCACATAACTACGATATTAATAATGGCTTATAGGTTAGACTCTCCATCACATAATGAACAAGCGACATTATAAGTAACATACTTAAAATATATAAAGCAGTCGGATCGCAGACGACGTGCCGCGAGAAGAGAGAGGGAGAGACAGAGAGACGGTGAGATTTACCTGTCGCTGCTCTCGAGAGCAAACACAGCGCGATCACTAACACGGTCTCCATAGCTCCACACGCGTAATCCTGATCATTCTGTCCTGATGTTGACTCTGGTGAAAGCTGGAGTCCTCTACATGTCTCTGGAGCTGAAGGAGCGACCGCAGCTCTCGGCTCTCAGGTACAGAGTCCCTCACCTCGCCTCATCTGCTTCTGCACGTGACCCGCCCCAGCCAACCGATGCAGCGGCGTGGGTACAGTTTCTTAGTAACGCCAACATGACCTAATTAATATTCATGAGACAAGTCTTCAAAATTGATTGAGCTGTTTCCTCCTCGGTGGTAGTTCAGTAGCGTTGTGTGTGTGGTATGACAACAGACTGGTTATACTGGTGTGTCTTCATACCTTGTTGTTCATTACAAATGAATGACAATGACATCTATCTATCTATCTATCTATCTATCTATCTATCTATCTATCTATCTATCTATCTATCTATCTATCTATCTATCTATCTATCTGATCTGAATCATAGTCATATACACTAGACCTCACCTGGGGGTTCTAAGCATGCGTCAAAACCGCCGCCATCTTGGAACAGGGGTCTTGTCATAGGAAGTAGCTAGGTAAGGCTGCTATCTCTGCCTTTACTTCGAATTCATTGATGGTGGCGGACTTTTGTGCAGCGTATGAAGTTCACAGATGAAATCTGAACTAGGAAGAATGTTTTTAAAAAAAAAAAAATAAATAAAAAAAAAAATTCTTTCTGGAATCAATGATAAATACATGTCTGACCGTTGGAACAAACCAAAAAAAACAAGAAAAATCGCATTCATGATGATTTTATTTGCGTTAGACCTGTGTCTACTACATTGACGCTGATGCATTAAAGTGGAGGGGCTCCCCTGTTTCAAGATGGCGGCTCTATTGACGCATTCGTTCTAATGAACTGCCGTATCCAAGGTGAGGTCTAGTGTATATGTCTATGCTATCTGATTAACGGATTGTTAAACTGAGCTGAAAATGAATGGTCATCATGTGACTGTGATTTGTGATATTATGGGTGATGATCTGATCCTTCATAGTTCTCATCATTGTATTCAGTCAAAATAACAGCACATGTAGACATAGTTCTCCTGTCTGGGACATGAAAGTAAAAACACTTGCTGAAGTACAAAAGATCTGTCTCTCTTTTACATGCAAATAAGAGGAAATGGTTTCACACCAATTAGTCACAGACGAGTGAGTGAGTGCCACAGGGAACTTCACTATCAGTCAATATCAGCTTCAAAGATCCAATTACACAAATAAATGTTCTCTTGCAGTGGTTATCCATATTGGTTTAGTTTCAGAATTGTTTGTTTGTTTGTTTGAATGAATGTATCCTTCAATTAAAACTAGCAGTAAAAAATTTGTAATATATGTTTTGTATATCAGCAACCTCGGGACTGTCACATCACTGTCAGCACTGGCGCTCCTGGGGACGTGTGCTCGCTCCACTGCTGTCCTCCCTGTCCATGAACACCACACTGCACAAGACCCTTCAGGTGGAGTCCAGAGTGTGCCGACGACTCATCCGCCTCGTCCAGGACGGTGACGAGTCGACTGGAGGTTGAGCTGGTCGTCTGGTGCAGTTATCTGAACACACTCACACAGTGGAGATGATGTTGGACTGCTGCAGGAGAAACACCCTGCATTATTCCCACATGAACCGTGCCCATCTGGGCCAGAGTCAGTCCGAGTCTCAGGCTCCGGCACCACCACATCTCAGGGCCCGAAGGGTCTTTGAAAATACAAGGTCTTAAGCTTTGTATTTTTAAAGAAGATTTATTAATAAAGTAAAGGCATAGAACCAATGCATTTGTAGTGTTTTATATAATTCGTTTTATAATGAATTAATAAAAATAAAGTTTAATTAATAAAAAGACAAAAAAGACCTTGAAATATGTTTGGTAATTGAACCTGAATGAATTTAAAATTAATATGCTTTATTTCAGACCAATACACTATTTTTTTCTTAAAATTTGACTGAATAACTTTATTCTCATCTGAATTATAAATAATTTATTTCTGTATAAAATAATACTACCATTAATACTCCACATTTGATTTTCTATTTGAATCAATGTAGAATGTGTAACTTTCAAATAAACAAATTAGTGCTCTGTTTGAGGACAAGAAATGAAAACCAACTGATTGTGATGAATACGTTTGCTTTTATAATAAACGTGGAATAAATTTGCTTTTAAACAGTGTGTGTGTGTGTGTGTGTAAGAAAAACCCCACACGAATATAAGTAAACACTTTGCAGTTTGAATGATGTCCTGTATGAACTAAATGATGGAATATGTTTTTATGTTTCCATTGTTTGATCACGCCTGCGCCTCACACACACACACACCATATTCCAGCACTAATCTTGACATCGCAGCCCGTTCATTATAGCCGTATTAAATAGTCAACCAAACATATGAAAATTATACTGCTCAGTTTATATAGTCAGTAATACACTCCACTTGTGATCCCTGATAGCGCACGTACATCTTGATGTGTGTTGACATCTGGAAGATGTGCTCATCAGCATAACATATAGGACATGTCAAATAGACATTTAGAAGATGTCTTTAAGATGTAATGATTTAGTATGTATGTTAAACTGACATCTTAAAGATGTCTATTAGATGTTAGTAAACAGCAGATGCTTTCCAGATGAAGTGATCTTTAACAGACATCTTGCAGACATACGTCGTGTGCTACCTGGGTATGTTTCCAAATGAAGAGGATGATTTTTTCCGTCAATATTGGAACATAGTAAAGAACAAAGCCTATAATAAAGAAAGGTTTACCATCCAAATACATTGAAAATGTTGAAACATTTCGATTCTAATGAGCGAGGTACTTGAGCCCAACGCCGCTCACTTTTACTTTCGCTTTAAATTATTTCATTTTGGCTTGTTTATAGTTATTTTTAATTCTTGTTCTGAATAAAAATAAATGTAAAGGATTTGTTGTGCAATATTTTAAGGTATTTTCTAATCATGCAGCAAACGATGGTAGGCTATCAATAGGTTAAAATTCTTACAGCGAGATCTACTTTGCGTTGCAGTCGCGTCAAGGATCAGCCAGTGCACGCGCATCATCAGAAGCGGTTGTTAGGAAAAGTGCTGAGCTGAATAATTGTGCTATCTGTGCACAACAGTGTTTTAAATGAGAATAAAGTCAAATGCGCCATTAGCCCCATTTTACAAGTATTCTTAGGCCTATGGGTCACGTCAATAAAGAAAAAAGGGTCGCTCTTTGAAAAACACTACTCTAGTGATTTACTGACTAAGAAAACGTTGGGAGGAATGATATTTTAAACATAACACTAAACCGTTTAGGTGTAGCCAGGCGAGTTATTGATTCATTCATTCAAACGATTGGTTTAAACAACTGATTCATTGAAGTATAAAATTGTTAATTGAATCTTTGAATCAACCGATTCGTTCAAAATGTTAGATCATCAGTAATGAGAACACACAGCTTGAGTGTTCTGTGAGATGTGCGATGGTTTTGCTGTGTGATCTTTGTTTAGAACTATTTTCATTGCTGAAACAAAACAAAAACAGTCAATATTGCATCTACAATATAAGTGACCTAATTTTAACAGTTTATTGAACTGTTGTATGAATTTAAATCTAAATGATCTGGTGCCACCAGCTTGGGCCCGTAATCGCTGTTCAGTTATATTTATTCTTCTCCAAAGTGAATCGCTTTTTTGAGGGCCCAAATATGGTCAAACTCATGAAACTTTGCACACGCGCCAGAAGTGGTGATTTACATGTGATATGGGTTTCAGAACTAGGTGGGGCAAAATGTCCTTCCAAACCTTACACAACAGCTCAGAGCTCAACAGCTCATTTCAATTGCAACAAACCTGTATAGAAAAAAACAGATGCAGTGAATGCAATGAAATATAGCCTGCATTCGACATAGAGACTTGCACTTATATCTTATTCAGTGTTAAATGATCTGTGAAATTTAGTGTTTGTGGAAATTACCATTCATCTGCCTTCTCATCGTAGCTCTCCGCATTAGAGGTGGTGCTGAATCCATAAAGGCGCCGACAGCAAACAATGACTATTAAATACCTGAATTTTGAGGAAGTTAATAAGGAAAAAAAACAAAAAAAAAACTGATGTACAGCTAATGTCATTAACTTTACATTAATAGTAAATAGTGATGTGAGAAATGCACCAAAGCGACGGAAAAAAAATGTAAATCTTATCATACATGCAACCCTTCATTTAAACATAGTTGGAACTTTTTGACACACATTGATCTTTGAAGCCTTCTACGATTTTAGGGTGCAAATTTCCAATTATTCTCAATATGGGACCCAGAAAAATATTCCCCCATATTCATTATCATCAAATCATTTTTGTAACGTTACTTCAAAGTTTCACTAGATACAGATGTTGTCCGCATCACACCTCAATGCCAAAGTTGCTGTGTCGGTTGTACACTGATGAAACATCACTCCAGATGTTAGTCAGCGGATTGTAGGCCTCCGCACTCTGCAAACAACTGACTCCATCAAAACCACCAACTTTAAACAAATGTATGTATTCTGTGCATTTGGATATGCACATCCATGCATGCATTTCATAAGTGCAACCTTTAAACATCCTTCTATGTGTTTAATAATCATAAGCGATCACACCTACACCACTGCGGCGGCTACTCAAGGGAGCGATGAGAGTCCACTGGTTTGAGATGCTCGATCCCAGTAAAACCAGCACAGGTATAAATCTAACAAAAAAACAACAACATTTTACTGGATATACATGGTTAAAGTGTGTCTAGCAGGTAGATCAGTTGAGTGCATGAAATATATGACCGTGATTATGGGAAAGAGCATTTGAGAAATAGCTGAGCAACAGGAGTAATAAGTCAGCAGGTATGACAGTAGTGCAGGTGAAAGAGCTCCACTGTGCAATGAGGCATAGCGTAAGGGAGAGAAGCTGAAGACAGTTAGCAGGTGCATAGATCGAACAGTTGTTCAGAAAGGAGTAGTTTATGATATGAGTGTTTCAAGTTTTAGGGTTTTTGTCAGTCATTGGCGGCTGCAAACTGGCAAGATTGGGCGGCCGAATGTTGTGCAGGCTTTCGGAGTGATTAAGGCGATATACCTACTAGATCGTAAACTGCGAGTAGGTAGAGCGATGGTAACTAATGAATGGTGATCATG